TCTGTCTCCCCTTCTGCAGGTGCCGTTGTGAGGTAAAGAGCGAGAAATTCCCGGTCGGGGATGCTGGTGAGCGGTGTCGTGGTGCCTTCAATGAAGCGAGCGAATGGATCTGGGCGGGAGATTGGACCAAGCGAGTCCCGAGGCGGAGTTGGTGGTACGTTCCCCTCCTCAATCTCCGACCAGGGATCGCTCCAGCGATAAGGTGAGCGAGGTGGTTCACCAGTGCGTGGGGGTCGTCCGAGGGGAACGGCAACTCGGGGTGATGCTTCTCCACGCTCAGCTCTCATCTCTCGTTCAGCTTCCTCCAATTCTTCTTGCGTGAGCTCCCCTTCGTCAGGTTCGGCGGTTCCCCATCCTCCCATGGTGACCGTACCACTGGCGCTGGCTCCCCATGCTCCAGTGGCGGATGCCCAGGTTGCGCCGGGTTCTGGTTTGGTATCCTCGTCGCCCCATCCTCCGTGTGCTGACTTTTCGTCCCATCTGCCGCGATGCGCTCCTCATACAGTTTTTGTTTCTTTTCCGCCCGGGCCTTATCCTGTTCTTCTTTGACGCTCAGCTCCTCTGGTGCGTCAGGATTTTTCCAAGTCGGGTCAATCTCGCGGCGGTAGACTTCTCGAGTGTACGGGCGCGGTCGTTCTTCTTCGTCGAGGGTGGTGGTGTTGGCCTCTAGGACGAACCGTAGGGTGTTCGAGTAGGGCCTTGGTCTCTCCACCCGTTGCTGTCCGAATTTCTTGTTCGGCTCACCGAAGATGCGGTGAGATGACACGGCAAGTTTTTCGCGTGTCATGCCTGTGGGTTCTGCCTCAGCACTCTCCGCCTCCTGAATTGCTGCGTACTCCCGTTCAACCTGCTCCGTGCGGCTTGCCGTGGGTGTGTGGCATGTTGTGCACAACCCGTTGATGTCTGGCTCGTGCAGGTTGATCTCGCGGGGATGAGGACTGCGTCGAATCCACGGTTGTCCGTCCGGATGCTCCCATGATTCCTTGTTCATGAAGGCGAACTCGAGAGGAACAAGATCCACGAGCTCGTCGGAAGATGCTTGACAGGGGGGTACGTCGAAGTCCAGGATGTAGATCCCGTTGATTGAGCATGCTCGTCCGAGGTATTTGAACGACTCGGGAGGTGTGTCTGGAGGGGCGTACGTGAGGATGAGATCGCGAGTTGCTAGATCCGTGTGAATTATGACACCGCAGTCACGGAGTTGTCCAGCCGAGAGCAAATTGAAGCGCAGATTCGGGACGTAGAGTACGTCGTTGAATGAGATGTGTGTGTTGCTGTCTCGTGCTTGCAGGACTACGATGCCTTGTGAGTTGGCGCGCAGCTGCTCGTTGTTGACGACGGTGACGTAGGTTGCGGGGGCGCGGCTCAGATTCGAGACGTATCGCGTTGATCCCACCATGTGCTGTCCGCAGCAGCTGTCCAGGTACCAGGTGTTGTAGTTGTCGGTGTTGTTCGTGCGCAGAAGTAGCGCCAGTCGCGGAGTTACCAGGGTTGCCTTGTAGCGCCTGTAGAAGGAAGGATCTTCGTCTTCCTTCCATCCCACTGGTACGTAGTGCTGATTGTCGTGTGGCGGGCTCTCCCGCAGTGTGATTGGCTGATTCCAATCCTGCTCGTCCTCATCATATAGGTAATAGTGATCTTCAGTGAGGGGATTGTTCCATCCCTCTTCTGGTTCCAGAAGTCTTCCTTAGACTTCGTTCTCTTCGTCAGGCTCAGCAGTGCGGCGGCGGCGCGTCGCCATGTTCGCGATGATGTTCCTAGGAGCTCCTGATTGAGGCCCTTGAGATTGTTGGTGTTGATGATGTGCAGGAGGACGAACTGTCTGATGCTGAGGCTGAGAGTGACGAGCGTCTTGTCTGCCGACCCAGTTGTTGTGGTGAGTGGAATTTGGGTGGCGGGAGTTGGATCGGGATTTGCATCGATCCGTTGAGTGTCCGAAGACCTTGCATATTTTGCAATAATGGCGCCTTGGTTGACGTCGCTCTTCTCGGTTGTCTGCGTAGAAGGCGAGGCGCTCTCGGCGCGGCGCGGAGCTTGTTCTGCTCGAATCCATGTCCTGCTGTTCGGACAGGAGTGCGGCGTATTGTGCGGCTTCTGAGATTATCCCTCGCTGTCGGAGTAGCGCTTTACAGGGCTTCCACTCTGGCCCGAGTCCTTGAAGGACTATGTTGACGAAAATCTCTTCCGAGATTGTACTCCCATGCTTCGTGATCTAGTCACGGATGTTGCGACAGCGGTTAATATACGGATTCGCTTTCTCTCCGTGCCCCATTTTTATCTCCAAAAGTTGCTGCAGAAGCCTGCTGGCGGTGACCGAGTCCTTCGGCTGGTAAACTTCAACGAGGTGCTTCCAAGCTTCCAAGGCTGGAGCGTCGCTCTCTTTGTAGGAGCGAATGTTGAGTTGTTCCGCAGGCGTCATGTTGCGTAGCAGCACACTGTAGGCCATGAGGGACTCGCTGTAGTACTGAGCCCTGGCGACTTCGGTGTTTTCCACCGGTTTAGGGTAGGAGCCGTCGAAGTAATGGTAGATCTGCGCCGTTTGTAGGAGGAACTCAAGCTCGAAACTCCATGTATAGAAGTCCTTGCCGTCAAACGCGGCAGTAGTTTTGATTTTTGAAACGCTAAGAAAGCGTGCTTGCGCAGAGTTGATAGCTTCATCACTTCGACGGGGGGCAGTTGTTGTTGATTTGTCTGTGTCGAGGGAGAAGGTGTGCGCGGCGGTATCACGGCTTTTCTCAGCCGGTTGTCCAGGTTGTACTGGTTGGGAAGAGGTTCCCGCATCGCCTTTGCGCAGGTCTTGGACTTCTTTCTCCATAGTTGAAAGTCGAGCGAAGAGTTGCTCGAGGGCGGCAGTGCCGATCGTGGTTGTCGCCTCATTTTTCGTAGCTGGATTGGATTGTCCTTCAGCCGTCAGATTTGCTTGGCCTCCGGATCCTCCGGCCATCTTGGTCTTGGAGCGTGTGCCGCTCGCCAGATCTTGGTTCGGCAAATTTCACGGAAGTGTAGTTGCGAAGAATCCCTGAGTAGCTCTCATACCACGTTACAATCCCAAAAGGGACTTAGCGAAGGATCGCTCAGGGTTGATCGCGGAGTAGTGTTGCAGCGGAAGTTTGAATCTCAGGTCAGAGTGAATGTAAATGACTGAGTTGATAATAGCATGCATACATTGGGTTTATATAAGAATACAGGGGAATACGAAAAGACCTAGGCTAGCCATGTACTCTAAGGGGTACATTCCCTTATTACAGCAAATTCAAACCGTGCGGCGCGGGAACCCGTTTTGAACCTGTTCCCGCTCTTTTCACTTCAAATGTTTCTGCCTGCATCGGTCTTGGTCAGACGGTTGCTGTGTCGCTTCGACTCTTCTGACTCCTCGACTTCGTACTCGGTAGAGTCGGCTCCTGCAGCATACAGGAATGCCTTCTCATAAAGCTTCATATCGTAGAAAACATGGTATCAGAGCTAGGAAGGCCTAGCAATCTGTTGGAATAGGAGCTACTCAAGAAATTTGATCATAACACCTTGGTGGAAGCTAAATAGCTTCCATCCCTCCAGAAGGGCTGCCGAAATTGCACCGTGGCGGACTCTGGACGTGGGAGGGGAGGAGGAGAGAAGAAAACTGCTGGAAATCGTGTGGATCCGTTCGGGAGGACGAGTAGAGCGACATCCATTCACGGAGGCGCTCAGTCAACTGTGGCCGATCAAGACGTGCAGCATACCGTTGGAAAGGCCTCAGCACGATCTACAACAATTGCCTCGGGGTCGTTGCCAATCGACGAGCGGATCGGACGCAATTCGCGAAATACAGTCGGCGGACAAATTGGCAAATCGCGAATCGGGGAAGATTTAAAGCGCGGAAAAAAGATTGGAGGGTAGACGCCGACAGAGGAGGCCAGGGCGCATCCAACAAGCAAAAAATCGGGAGAAACGGTCGAGTCTTCGTCGACGGGAAATCGGCCAACTTCGACGAGTTTAAGCGGCCAGCTCGGACGCGGGATCCAGGAGCGCGATACATAATCGTAACGGTCTCGGAGCAAGGATTCATCTGAGCCAAACGGCTCATCATTCGGACGTTCGAGCACGGAGTTACGCTCTAATAACCAAGAGGGTGTGAATCTGCTTGCATCATCTTCACCGTCACCGCCGTTGCCTCCACCACCACCTCAACGTCAATCTTCAGTGCTCCTGCCGCAAATGGATCATGACTCAGGCGAAGGGAAGCTGGAGAGTGCGCCAAAGTTCGACGGGAGCGACTATTGGACTTGGAGCTTCCGATTCGAGCAATGGGCAGAGGCACACGATCTATGGGGGTACTTTGATGGTTCGGAGGAGCAGCCTGCATCGGGTGACGCACGGCTAAAGTGGGAGAGGAGAAATCAGAAGGCATTTGCCCAATTTTGCAATGCCTTGGTGCCAGATGAGTTGATTCGCTTGGTACGGGAGTTCGGCGGCAAGACCGAGTTGGGAAACGCACCTGTTGATGGCGGAGCAAGAGCGGTCACCCGAGTTCCTGTAGGCACAGCAGCGGCATACACACGAGTGAAGGAGTTCTACCTTCAGCGTGGATTGTGTAACCGGATGGCACTCTCTGAGGAACTCTCTTCCTTGAAGATGAAAGAAGGGGAGGGAGTGGCTGCATACTGGGCGCGTGTCGAGAACTTGAGGTCCAAGTACTTGGCTGCAGGAGGGAAGGAGGAGGTTGAGGAGTGGATGATGAGGGTACTCAAAGGACTACCTCCTCACTTTGAGATGCTGAAGGTAGTGCTGAACAACCAATCACCTCCTTGAGGAGCGAGGAGATGCGGATTGGTGTCGCACCAAGATCGGATGGTGTAGCCACTTTTGGAGCGGGTACGAAAGTGGGCAGCAGCGGCAGGGGAAATTGGGACAAGGGAGGAAAACATGGAGGCAGCGGTAGCAGCAGTGACACCAACTCGGGCAGATGGGGTCAAGGAAAAGGCAAAGCGGGAGTGCTTGATTTCCCCTAGGGGTCCAAGGGCATGGCTCCTCGGGGGTTGTGTCATGGCTGTTGGGATGAGGGACATGCATGGCAGCGATGTCCTCATCGACCTAAGGGAGGCATTCCGGCATTCTTAAAGCGGGGGGGTCGTGGATCCAATGGCAAGGCACAGGTGGCGGATGAGGAGGAGCAGGATGACAAGGCAGAGGCAGTGGTTGGAGAGGCAGTTGCAGCAGTGGGAGAGGAGCAGCCGCGAGAGGGGTGGTGGATTGACAGTGGGGCCAGCCACAACTTTACTCCTTATGCATCGGACTTCAAAAGTAAGCTTCAGCCACCAGATTTTCGGGGAGTTAGATTGGGAGATGGACGGGTGGTGAAAGCTGTCGGCATGGGTGAGGTGCCAGTGGTGAGGTCAGCTGCTGAGGATTCAAAAGGTCCACCTTGTGCCTGAGATGCACACGCGTCTGCTGTCAGTCCCACACCTCACCTCTCGAGATGTCATTGTCACATTCAAGGGCAAGAAAAGGAGAGGGGCAGGGACCATGGATTGGTGCGGATGTCTCTTCCTCTTGCTCGGGGCACACAAGGCAGTGCTCTTGCAGCTGGGTCCTCCTCCTCATTTTCCCCGTTGACCCTTGCTCATCGCCGCCTTGGTCACACCGCCCCCACAACATTGCAACAGATGGCTCGGGGGAACAGTGTACTGGGCTTGGAGATCGGGGGGGGGGAGCACTGATTGCTCCCCATATGAGCCTTGCTTATTGGGAAAGTCGGCTCGGAAGCCGTTTCCCCACGAGGCGTCTCGGGCACTTGGGCCTTTGGATGAGGTCCACATGGATTTGTGGGGGCCAGTGTGCGCACACCGTCACTGGGAGGAGCGGTGTATGTCCTCAGTCTCATTGATGACTTCACGAGACGAGTTTGGTCGTTCCCACTCCCCAACAAGGAATCGGCCACAGTCGCAAAAGTCCTTCGCCAGTGGCATAAGGACGTGGAGTTGGAGTGTGGGCGGAAGCTGAAGGCTGTTCCCTCCGACAGGGGTGGCGAGTTCTTGGGGGACGCTGTGAAAGCATGGACAGCGGAGTTTGGCATCAAAACCCAATTGAGTGTCGCAGATACACCGCAGCAAAATGGGGTCGTGGAGAGGTGGCACAGGACGATGGCAGAGGGGATTCGCACATTGTTGGTTGACAGTGGTCTCCCTTCTCGCTTGTGGGGTGAAGCATTGATGTGGGTCGTGTGGATTAAGAACAGGGTCACCCACAGTGCTTTGCCTGCCTCCATCACACCAATGGAGGCGTGGTCCGGCCAGAAGCCGCATGTGGGCATGGCTCGGATTTGGGGTTGCATGGGGAGTGTCATACTGCATGGGCATGAGAAGGGTGGCAAGCTTGATGCACGAACTGTCATGTGTGTCTGTGTTGGGGTGGACATGGAGAGCAAGGGTTGGTGCATGCTGGACCCTTCTCTCATGCGCATTCGCATTGCTCGGGATGTTGATTTTCTTGAGAATGTGATGTGGAAGGATTGGGACAAGGCAAAGGGATTTGGGGAGCTTCTGCAGGATGCAGCTGCGATTTCCCAACTCCTCCCTCTTCCACTCTCGCCACCCTCAGCAACGGCTGACGACGTTGAGATGCCACCTTCATCACTGCCACCGGCACCGCTGAGTGTGTCGGTGCAGCAGCAACCCACCCCTCTGCAGCAGCTCAGTGGCCCCTCGGTCATTCAGCGGAGATCCGCTACACAGGCTACTTCCTCTTCCTCCTCCTCTGGTCAGCGCTCTGTCCCTCTCTCTACGGGTGCCCCTCCGTCACCAGCGACTACCTCCCCACCACCGGTTACGGGTTTGCAGGTGCTTGGTATCCAGTCTGGTACAGGTGGTGAGGAGGTAGGGGGGGATGCTGGTGTGGTTGAGGGCATGCTGTGTTTGGCCAGGGAGGTGGAAGGTGTTGCACTGGCAGGTGTGAGCACCGGTGATGTCCCACGCACACTCGCTGAGGCCCTGCGTGGCCCTGAGGGCCCTGCGTGGAAGGCAGGCGCTGAGAAAGAGATAAATGCAATGCGCACTATGGGTGTATGGGATACAGAGCCGGTCGACTTACCTCCAGGTAAGAAGGCCATTGGGGTCAGGTACGCTTTCCGCAGGAAAACTGACAAGGAGGATAAGGTGGTACAGCACAAGGTTCGCCTTGTTGCTAAGGGGTACACTCAGGAGCCCGAGAAGGACTATGATCAGGTATTTGCCCCTGTGGGCAAGCTCACCTCAGGTCGGGTGCTTCTTGCAGAAGCCGCGGTAAGCTCACCTCAGGTCGGGTGCTTCTTGCAGAAGCCGCGGTAAAAGGGTGGCATGTACAACAGGAGGATGTTGATCATGCTTACCTCAATGCAGTCCTTCAAGAGGAGGTGTATGTGAGGCAACCTGAGGGATTTGATGATGGTACAGGTAGGGTGTGTCAGAATGTGTAGTTTGTCTAGCCTGCAGTGGGGTACTCTGTAGTGAGTATGACCCCTTAGGGTTTCCTATATGTATCCACCTGCTTGCTAGTGAACCCCTCCTTTGCCTAATTCTCTCTTGCCTAGCTAGGTAAACCCTAGCTATGGCTCCTCGTTCCGCTTACTCTTCTAACATGGAATCAGAGCTGTTACGCTCTTGGCCTGTGGGCCCCACGTGCTTCCGCTGTCGTTCTGTTTGTCGCGCGCCCCGTGGCGCGCGACGCTTTTTTCTTCCCGCCACGCGCTCGGGGCGCATGGCGGTTTTCTGCCCGCCGTGCGCCCCGAGGCGCGTGGCGGCTTCCTTCTTCGCGCGTCACCCCGGGAACCCGCGCGTCCCCCCCCCGTCGACGGTCGCGTCGCCCCGCAACCCCGTCGCGCTGCCCTGGGGAGCCGCGCGCGACCCCCCGCTGCCCGACGGTCGCGTCGCCCCGCAACCCCGTCGCGCTGGCCTGGGGATCGCGCGCGACCCCCCGCTGCCCCGTCGACGGTCGCGTCGCCCCGCAACCCCGTCGCGCCGCCCTGGGGAGCCGCGCGCGACCCCCCGCTGCCCCGTCGACGGTCGCGTCGCCCCGCAACCCCGTCGCGCCGCCCTGGGGCGCCGCGACGGGGCAGCGGGGGGTCGCGCGCGGCTCCCCAGGGCGGCGCGACGGGGTTGCGGGGCGACGCGACCGTCGACGGGGCAGCGGGGGGTCGCGCGCGATCCCCAGGCCAGCGCGACGGGGTTGCGGGGCGACGCGACCGTCGGGCAGCGGGGGGTCGCGCGCGGCTCCCCAGGGCAGCGCGACGGGGTTGCGGGGCGACGCGACCGTCGACGGGGGGGGGACGCGCGGGTTCCCGGGGTGACGCGCGAAGAAGGAAGCCGCCACGCGCCTCGGGGCGCACGGCGGGCAGAAAACCGCCATGCGCCCCGAGCGCGTGGCGGGAAGAAAAAAGCGTCGCGCGCCACGGGGCGCGCGACAAACAGAACGACAGCGGAAGCACGTGGGGCCCACAGGCCAAGAGCGTAACAGCTCTGATTCCATGTTAGAAGAGTAAGCGGAACGAGGAGCCATAGCTAGGGTTTACCTAGCTAGGCAAGAGAGAATTAGGCAAAGGAGGGGTTCACTAGCAAGCAGGTGGATACATATAGGAAACCCTAAGGGGTCATACTCACTACAGAGTACCCCACTGCAGGCTAGACAAACTACACATTCTGACACACCCTACCTGTACCATCATCAAATCCCTCAGGTTGCCTCACATACACCTCCTCTTGAAGGACTGCATTGAGGTAAGCATGATCAACATCCTCCTGTTGTACATGCCACCCTTTTACCGCGGCTTCTGCAAGAAGCACCCGACCTGAGGTGAGCTTACCGCGGCTTCTGCAAGAAGCACCCGACCTGAGGTGAGCTTGCCCACAGGGGCAAATACCTGATCATAGTCCTTCTCGGGCTCCTGAGTGTACCCCTTAGCAACAAGGCGAACCTTGTGCTGTACCACCTTATCCTCCTTGTCAGTTTTCCTGCGGAAAGCGTACCTGACCCCAATGGCCTTCTTACCTGGAGGTAAGTCGACCGGCTCTGTATCCCATACACCCATAGTGCGCATTGCATTTATCTCTTTCTCAGCGCCTGCCTTCCACGCAGGGCCCTCAGGGCCACGCAGGGCCTCAGCGAGTGTGCGTGGGACATCACCGGTGCTCACACCTGCCAGTGCAACACCTTCCACCTCCCTGGCCAAACACAGCATGCCCTCAACCACACCAGCATCCCCCCCTACCTCCTCACCACCTGTACCAGACTGGATACCAAGCACCTGCAAACCCGTAACCGGTGGTGGGGAGGTAGTCGCTGGTGACGGAGGGGCACCCGTAGAGAGAGGGACAGAGCGCTGACCAGAGGAGGAGGAAGAGGAAGTAGCCTGTGTAGCGGATCTCCGCTGAATGACCGAGGGGCCACTGAGCTGCTGCAGAGGGGTGGGTTGCTGCTGCACCGACACACTCAGCGGTGCCGGTGGCAGTGATGAAGGTGGCATCTCAACGTCGTCAGCCGTTGCTGAGGGTGGCGAGAGTGGAAGAGGGAGGAGTTGGGAAATCGCAGCTGCATCCTGCAGAAGCTCCCCAAATCCCTTTGCCTTGTCCCAATCCTTCCACATCACATTCTCAAGAAAATCAACATCCCGAGCAATGCGAATGCGCATGAGAGAAGGGTCCAGCATGCACCAACCCTTGCTCTCCATGTCCACCCCAACACAGACACACATGACAGTTCGTGCATCAAGCTTGCCACCCTTCTCATGCCCATGCAGTATGACACTCCCCATGCAACCCCAAATCCGAGCCATGCCCACATGCGGCTTCTGGCCGGACCACGCCTCCATTGGTGTGATGGAGGCAGGCAAAGCACTGTGGGTGACCCTGTTCTTAATCCACACGACCCACATCAATGCTTCACCCCACAAGCGAGAAGGGAGACCACTGTCAACCAACAATGTGCGAATCCCCTCTGCCATCGTCCTGTGCCACCTCTCCACGACCCCATTTTGCTGCGGTGTATCTGCGACACTCAATTGGGTTTTGATGCCAAACTCCGCTGTCCATGCTTTCACAGCGTCCCCCAAGAACTCGCCACCCCTGTCGGAGGGAACAGCCTTCAGCTTCCGCCCACACTCCAACTCCACGTCCTTATGCCACTGGCGAAGGACTTTTGCGACTGTGGCCGATTCCTTGTTGGGGAGTGGGAACGACCAAACTCGTCTCGTGAAGTCATCAATGAGACTGAGGACATACACCGCTCCTCCCAGTGACGGTGTGCGCACACTGGCCCCCACAAATCCATGTGGACCTCATCCAAAGGCCCAAGTGCCCGAGACGCCTCGTGGGGAAACGGCTTCCGAGCCGACTTTCCCAATAAGCAAGGGGTGTGTGAAAAGGGGGGTGGGACAGTTGGGGGAGGTTGAGCGGAGGCTGCCGTCTTGTCGTCCGCAGCACCTGTAGTCCGGGGCGCTGTCCTGGTAGCCCAGAGAGCCTGCTGCGCCTGTCGCCCGTGGGTCCGTTGCTCCTGCCGCTCAAAGTTAGCCGCAGAGCCAGTTACTCCGATAGTCCGGGGCGCTGTCCCGGTAGCCACTGTGCCAGCCGCTCCTGTTGCCCGTGTGTCTGCAGCTTCAGCCGTCGCCTCCTATCTCCTCTCCTCTCACAGTCCAGCCTCCTCCTCCTCACGTGCCCGTTGTGAATGCCTCTAGCTTTGCTTGCACTTGTGAACCTGCTCTATGAACTTGCTCTACTGATTATACCCCACTTTGACAATGGGGGTGTGTCAGAATGTGTAGTTTGTTTAGCCTGTAGTGGGGTACTCTGTAGTGAGTATGACCCCTTAGGGTTTCCTATATGTATCCACCTGCTTGCTAGTGAACCCCTCCGTTGCCTAATTCTCTCTTGCCTAGCTAGGTAAACCCTAGCTATGGCTCCTCGTTCTGCTTACTCTTCTAACAGGGTGTATCGCTTGCGCAAAGCTCTCTATGGGCTCAAGCAAGCGCCTCGTGCTTGGAATGAGGAGACCGGTACCACCCTGATTGCAGCAGGGTTTGACCGCAGTGCATGTGATGAGGCTCTGTACATCAGGTTTGTGGATGAAGAGCCAGTGTATGTATTGGTGTACGTGGACGACCTCTTGCTTGTGTCTCCACGCTTGGAGCTGATCGGTCAGGTCAAGGAGGTGCTTGCTCAAAGGTACAAGATGAAGGATCTAGGTGAGGTATCCACGTACCTTGGTGTGGAGGTTCGCAGGTCGGTCAAGGATGGGTGGTTGGAGATTGGTCAGGAGAAGTATGTCCGTGGTCTCCAGGGAAGGTTTGGTGATCTGCCGAAGGAGACCTATAGGGTACATACTCCAATGTCACCCAATGATCTCTCTAAGATCAGGAATGGTACTTGGTCGACTGAGGAAGGTGTTGCAGCTGATGTCAAGGTGTACCAGAGTCTCATTGGCAGCTTGATGTATGCTGTTGTGACCACCCGTCCTGACATGTCTTTCACTGTCAACACCCTTGCACAGTCCTGCGTGGCACCAAGACGCTTTCACATGCGCGCTGCACTGAGAGCACTCAGGTACTGGTCGTGTCACCAGGTATGAGCGCCAAGGTGGTGAGCATGTTGTTGGGTACACAGACTCGGATTGGGGTGGTGAGACTGATGGCAAGAGTCGCTCTGCCTACATCTTTAAGCTGGGAGGAGGAGCAATCAGCTGGTATAGCAAAAAGCAAGACAGTGTTGCAGCAAGCGTTTTTGAAGCTGAGTACAAAGCTCTATCGGAGGGGGCCAAGGAGGCCATTTGGTTGAGGAGTTTGTTGGCAGAGATGCATGTGGGGGATGGGGGGGCTATTCCATTGCTCTGTGATAATGAGGCTGCTGTCTCCCTTGCCCACAATCCCGTTCTCCATCAGCGCACCAAGCACATTAAGGTGGCATGGCACTTTGTACGGGATGCGGTGCGCCAGCAGGAGGTCGAGGTGCACTCAGTACGCTCCCACCTCCAGGATGCCGACATGCTCACCAAAGCTCTTCCAAGCTTGCAGCTGCATGAGAACTTGGAGCGCATCGGCATGCGAGTGATGGCTGCGAAGGCCAAGGCTTCATTCGCTGGAGGGGTTGTGTTTTGATTTATGGGTGAACTTTAATGCTTATTGGAGCAAGGGGGGGTGTTGGAATTAAGGTTAATTCGGGTTGCTCCAATAAATATATGTAGTGATACATCTACACTATAGTAGTGTAGAATACATTGGTTGGGTTGGGAGAACTTGTGGTGTACACTCTATAGAGTGGACCACCTCCCAAACCCTATAGGTTAGGGTTCTCTCTTGTTGGAACTTCACTTCTTGGAAACCACTTTGGTTCTAGCATGGTCCATGCCCAAGTGGGCTCCTAAGATTCCTAGGCTCTAGGAGGAAGTTCTAAGACTACTAAAGCTTCCGCTAGTAGCTTAGTCCATGCTAACAACGCGCAGAGCAGCTGCGCATAGGCAACGTGCACAGCAGCTGCGCACAGGAAACGCGCGCACACCTGCAACTGCCGCACGCACAGCAGCACCCGCTCAGGCAGCGCGCGCAGCAGCTGTGTACAGGCAGCAACAAGCGCACACATGCCCGGCTCGTGCTTCCCGCCCCGTTTCGCGCTGCCCCGCGCCGTCCCGTCCTGAGCAGCCGTAGCTGTCAAAGTACAATCTCACTTGTAGGCTGTAGTGGGGCACTCCTTATGGGGTACAGCACATCTAGGGTTAGTACGGTACATGTACCCCAACTCTTGCTAATCCAACCATTCCTGCACAATTATTCTGACATGGTATTCAGAGCAGGAAACCTGTTAAGTTTTAAGGGTCCACCGATCGTTTTGCTAGTTCATGCCCGAAGCGCCCTTGCGCTGTCCGGCCCTCTTGCACAGTGTCACGCAGCCCTGCAGCTACTCGCACTGCCTGCCCTAGCGCGCTGCCCTGCTATCACGCGTGCCCCTGCTACCCGCAAGCAGCCCCTGCCCCGCGCGCCACTGCTGCCCGCGAGCATCCCCTGCACTGCGCGCCACTGCTGCCCGCGAGCAGCCCCTGACCCAAGAGCCCCTGCTGCCCGCGAGCAGCCCCTGCCCTGCGCGCCCCTTCTGCCCGCGAGCAGCCCCTGCCCTGCGCGCCACTGCTGCCCGCGAGCAGCCCCTGACCCGAGCGCCCCTGCTGCCCGCGAGCAGCCCCTGCCCTGCGCGCCCCTTCTGCCCGCGAGCAGCCCCGCAGCCCAGCGCGCCCCGCAGCCCTAAATGCGCCAGCGCGCCCCGCAGGCCAGCACGCCAGCGCGCCCCGCTGCTAATTACGCCAGCGCGCCCCGCAGCCTAGCGCGCCAGTGCGCCCGCATCCCAGCGCGCCCCGCAGCATGCACTCCCGTCTCCTTCTCTCTGGGCTTCCCAGGTCCCTACCCTCGCTCCCGCGCTCACCTGTACCGCACTGCCTTCACTGCGTCGAGGGCCGGCAGCGCGCCGCTGCTCACTCCTCCGAGTTTCCTCCGACCACTGCTGCTCTCCAGACTCTCCACATGGAGTTCTGTCGAGACGAGGGTATCCGCCAGACATTCACGCTTTCGGCCTCTCCTCAGCAGAATGGGATTTTTGAGCGTCGCATTGGCTTGATCATGGAGGTTGCTCGTACCTCCATGATCCATGCGGCTGCTCCCCATTTTCTGTGGCAGTTTGCGGTCCGATACGCTGCGCATCAGCTCAAACTCTAGCCCCGTGTCTCTGAGCCAGAGACCTCGCCCGCCCTCCGGTGGACGGGGAAGATTGGCGATGCGTCGGTGTTTCGGGTCTGGGGGGCGCTCTCCCTTGTTCGCGATGCCAAAGCGAGAAAGCTCTTCTCTCGCACACTCTGCTGCGTCTTCCTTGGCTTTCCCACCGACGCTCCGCCGTGGCTGTTCTACTACCCGCGCGACCGGCGCGTGTTCTCCTCCCAGGACGTCACATTTGACGAGTCAGTCTGTTTCTACAGGCTACACCCGCACGCGTCCCACCCGGTCCCCCTAGCGCCTCTCTTCCTGGTACCAGTCCCCCTCCTCCGGTAGATCCCCTCCCCCCACAGGGTCCTGCTCCCTCAGGTGTGTCTCATGTAGACCCACCCCCCTTTGTTGAGCCTTTGGAGATCTCATCTGACTCCACTGGCCCCAATGAGGGGGGTGACCCCGCCGCTGACGACACGGCGGCCACTCGCCGCTCTCCACGCTTGGAGACTCCCCCTGGATTTCCTCCTCGGCCGTCTTCGCCACCTCCGCAGCCTGCTGCTGTGGACTATGGAGCTGAGACTGCTGGTGCTGAGCCTGGGGGTGAGGGTTCTGGGGGTGCTGAGACAGAGGGTGAGGGTTCTGGGGGTGCTGCGACTGGGTGTGCTGACTCTGGGGGTGCTGCGAGTCCTTGTGGCGGTGGAGCTGTGGGTGACCCGATTGGAGGTACTGATGGAGGTGCTGGAGGTGCTGCTGGTGCTGGAGGTACTGCTGGAGGTGCTGGAGGTGCTGCTGGTGCTGGAGTTACTAGAGGTACTGCTGGTACTGGAGGTGCTGGAGGTACTGCTGGAGGTGCTGGAGGTGCTGCTGGAACTGGAGGTACTGCTGGAGGTGCTGGAGGTGCTGCTGGTACTGGAGGTACTAGAGGTGCTGCTGGTGCTGGAGGTGCCGGAGCTCCTAGTCCTGGAGGTGCTACTAGTGCTGGAGGTGCTGGATCTGCTAGTCCTGGAGGTCCAGCTGGTGTAAAGCAAAGACAAAGCAAACTGATAACACAAGTCTACACAAGACGAGAACCTGTGTCAACGAGACCTAACTGCACACAACACATGTGGTCACAAGGCGGAAGGGCCTTGGTGAAGATGTCTGCAGTGTTTGCCTCTGACTCCACAAAGTCCAAGAGAGCCTGTCCACGCCTCTGC